GGGTTTCTGGCGCCCCCTGCTGCCTGCTGGCTGACACACAGTCCCAAAGAAAAGGACCACGGTAGCAGGTTCTGACTTGATGTTAGCTATGACACAACTCAACTGGTTCTACAACCTCAGTGTCGTGATCCACAGCTGGAGAACACACCTCACTCTGTTACCTTTGTGAAATAATACAGCATAGACTTTATTTTATTTCATTTATGCATTTTTTAAAGATTTATGTATTTATTTGAAAGGCAGAGTTACAGAGAGGCGGAGAGAGAGAGAGAGAGAGAGAGAGAGAGAGAGAGAGAGAGGTCTTCCATCTGCTGATGGCTGCAATGGCCAGAGCCGATCTGAACCAGGAGCCAGGCGCTGCTTCCGGGTCTCCCACGTGGATGCAGGGGCTCAAGGACTTGGGCCAACCTCTCCTGCCTTCACAGGCCACAGCAGAGAGCTGGATCAGAAGTGGAACAGCCGGGACTCGAACCAGCACCCATATAGGATGCCAGCTCTGCAGGTGGTGGCTTTATCTGTTACACCACAGCGCCGACCCCGACAGCATACACTTTAAATTGGGGTCTGCATTGTGGTGCAGCATGTTAAGCGGCTGCCTGCGACACTAGCATGCCATAGGAGAGCTGGTTCAAGTCCCGGCTGATCTACTTACGATCCAGCTCCCTGCTAATGAGCCTAGGAAAATAGTGGAAGATGGCCCAAGGGTTTGGACCCTGCCACCCACATGGGAGCCCTGGATAGAGTTCCAGGTTCCTGGCTTTGGCCTGACCCAGCTCTGGCCATTGCAGCTATTTGAGAGTAGATGGAAGATTTCTTTTTCTCTCTCTCTGCCTTTCAAATAGATAAATCATTAAATACGTGTGTATAATTTAAGTCAAAAATGGTTACAAAAGACAAATAAAGGCAATATGTATTGATAAAAAAAGCATCAATACATTAAAAAGATAAAGGAATTTAAATATATATCTATATTAACCAAGCAATGGAACCACAGACTATATGAGGAAGAATACAAAGAGCTTAAGAGATAAGTGGGTAGTGTCCTATCATAAGTGTTGGAGAATTCAATACTTAACTTTCAACAATGGTGGAAGAATCAACAGAGGCTCAGTATAACAGGGATTTGGACAAAAACACAAACTGTCAGACCTAACAGACGTGGTCAGAGCCCCCACTCCATCAGCGCAGGACACACACTCTCCTCCGACGCACACGGGGCTTCCCTCGGGGCCAGCACCTGCGGGCCACAGAGCGTCTCCGTGGACTCACAACACTGCAGGCAGCCAGTCGTCTCCCCCGGCCACGCGGAACAACACAGACGCCAGCACACGAGAAAAAGCTGGAAAATGAGCAATTAGACAGCCGAGGAGCACAAGCAGCTTTCAAAAGAAATTAGAAAATACTCAAGACGATTTAGAGGGGGAAGCACAGCACCAGCAGGTAGGCAGCGAAGGTCCCCTGGGGGGACTTTACAGCCGCAAACGTTACATTGTAAAAGAAAGGGCTCAGATCGCTACCTGCAACTTACACTGTAAGGAACTAGAAGAGAAAGGGCAAGTTAACTCAAAGAAAGGGAAGGGGAAGAAGTAAGAAATGTCAGCTCGAGGGTCAGTGGAATGTTCTAGTATGCCCCTGGCCCTTTGCTTGTAGGAGAGCGGGAATCCTCGGAGGTGCACATCGTGGGTAGTGCTCTGCGCTTCCACCAGGGGGCGCCAAACACACGGTTGTCTCAGCTCAATGTTGGAAACCCTGTGTGGTTACTGCTTAAATCCCTTCACCCATTCGGGGGTGGTTAGGTTGCAAAAAGGGTGCTAATGCAATTAATTTAGCCTGGTGTACTCCTCGCCCATCAGTGCAGGGAGAAGATGAGACAACAGAGCGTTGTCTCCAGTGACAGCCGAGGCAGAAATCAGAGTCCACCTCCTGCCCACTGCACGTGGCGTGCGTCTCACCTGGGCTCCTCCAGGCCACAACACAGGGAGCAGAGTGGAAGCAGCCAGAGGAGCAGCAAGTGCAGCCGAGGCTGCAGCAACGGCCCTCCCAGCGGTGACTTGGGTGTGGCTGAGGGCCCCTCCTGACCCTGCCTGCAGCCCCCTAAAGCCCGAGGGGGCCCTCGGTTGTTCACAGAAACCTGCAGGGAAGGAGGCACCAACCCCAGTGTCCGGGGTGGCAGGTGCACCTCTGCTCCACGCCAGGAAGGATCTGAGTGGTCACTTGGGACTGGAGGGTCCTGCCCCCACTGGGCAGGGTGGCCTGAAGCCCTAGGGTGCCCTGTGTGTGGGGTCAGGGTGGCAACTCCCCTAGGAAAGAACTGAGCAGCCTGGTATTTCAGGGATGTGCATGGTGTGTGTGTGGTGTGAGCCCCACCCCTGATGCAGAAATGAACAAGACAGTCACTCAGCCAGGTGTCCTGTCCCTGTCGCCCAGCAAGTGCAGAGAAGACATCGGAGCCGGCGCCGCGGCTCACTAGGCTAATCCTCAGCCTTGCGGCGCCGGCACACCAGGTTCTAGTCCCAGTCGGGGCGCCGGATTCTGTCCCAGTTGTCCCTCTTCCAGGCCAGCTCTCTGCTGTGGCCCGGGAGTGCAGTGGAGGATGGCCCAGGTGCTTGGGCCCTGCACCCCATGGGAGACCAGGAGAAGCACCTGGCTCCTGCCTTCAGATCAGCGCGGTGCGCCAGCCGTGGCGGCCATTGGAGGGTGAACCAACGGCAAAGGAAGACCTTTCTCTCTGTCTCTCTCTCTCACTGTCCACTCTGCCTGTCAAAAAATTTTTAAAAAATCAGTATTTAGAAGAAATGTATTAGGATCCCCAGGACATCACTGGACACGTTCAGTGGCATTTTGTCAGTCCGCTGGGACGGTGTATACAAGCATGGAACTCTCCAGAAAGCGCTGAGCACAGTAACAGCAGGCTCTGCACCAGGGCGCACCAGGAGGTCCACGGGGAGTTCTCTGCACAGCGCTCCCCGGGTCACGGGGAGCCGAGAGAGAGCCAGGGTGGCCACAGCGTCCTCCCTGGGTTGTCCCTCCTCTCGGTCACCTCTCAGCTTCTCTGTCAATGACGGATCCATCAGGGCCGCACAGCTGTGGTCTTACAGCAGGCCCCAGAGCCCGGGGCGTTCCCAGACCTGCATTTCCAGGCTGTGTCGGCAGGGATTGGGCGATTGGGCGGCAGGCAGGTCTCTCTCCACCTTGGGAATGGGGCCTCAGCCCCCCCCCCCATCCTGAGTCCAAAGCCCCTCCTCCCACCCTCCCTGTTGGGCCTGGCTCCTTCTTCCCACCGGGAAGAAACTGCAGAGTGGAGAATGAGAGGGGAAATGGGAGACACAGCAGAGGCAGAGGCGAGAGGTGGGGCCTGGAGACCCTAGGGGTGGGGCCCCGGGGAGCTGAATCTGAGCGCCAGGTGCCCACCCCACCCCGACCCCGGGCCGCCCATCACCCTCTCACTGCCCTGCCCCGCCCCTGAGCCTCTGAGACTGAGCCCTGGCTCCTGCACTTGAATCCAGTGTGGAGCCCACCCCCAAAGCTGAGCCAGAGCCCTCCGCCTCCCCTCCCCCCACTCCTGCCTTCAGCTCAGCTCTCAACAGAGCCCACTCCTGTCAGCCCCGGGCTGGAAGCAGGACCCAGCTCCCCCTCCCCACGGGGGGTAGGGGGCCCAGCCTCCTCCCACTCCAGGGACCCTGCCTGGCCCGGCCCCTCCCCTCCTCTGCCCAGGACTTAGGGGCTCACTCTTTCCCTGTGATGGAAGCAGCAAGATTTGCTCTGTGATAATTCTGTTTGTGAAGCAATTAGGAGATGCTAGGGCTCACCTGGGGTGGGGTCTCCTACCCAGAGGGAAGAGCTGGCTTCTGGGGGAGACCCCTGGGGGCCTGAGCTGAGTGGCATGGGGGAGGGGTGGTTCAGACATCCTGACACTGCCAGCCCGCCCCCTCCCCAGCAGAGCTGATCCTAGAGACCCTGAATCTATTCCTCCCAGAAAGGGAGTCAGAGCCCCCTGCCCCACCATGTCACGGCCTGTTTGCTGTGCTCTGTTATTACATTGATTTTCTTTTCTTTTTTAATTAATTAATTATTTATTTGAAAATCAGAGTTAAACAGGGAGAGAAGGAGAGGCAATGAGAGAGGTCTTCCATCTGCTGGATCACTCCCCCCAGATGACTGCAACCGCAGGAGCTGGACCAATCCAAAGCCAGAAGCCGGGAGCTTCTTCCAGGTCTCCCACACGGGTGCAGGGGCCCAAGCACTTGGTCCATCTTCTACTGCTTTCTCAGGCCACAGCAGAGAGCTGGATCAGAAGAGGAGCAGCCTGAACTAGCACTGGCGCCCATATCGGATGCCGGCACTGCAGGCAACGGCTTTGCCTGCTACGCCACAGCGCTGGCCCCACTAAATCGATTCTCATTGGCTTCCAGAATGCCATAAGCCAGCACTTTCCGGGTTCATTTCAAGCAAATCCGTTTGGAGGCAAATAATTCCTATTGGGAGGGTCTCAACCCCCCCTCACCACACTGGGCAGTCGATGACAAGTGGACAGCGTGGCCCTGGGCGTGGGAGGGGCTGGGCGGTCTGCACAGGTCCAGGAGAGAGAGGCCCAGGGCCTAGAGAGGGTGTCGGGCATCAGACAGGAGCGGGACCAGGGTCCCCGGCCTCGCGCTGGCGGGCGGGCAGGCGGGGGGCGCTGAGGTGGGTCGCGATGGTTTCCTCGCTCTCGCTCAGTCTCCTCAAAGGCCTCCGAATCCGTCCCCAGGACCCAGAGCTGGCGACTCGTCTCTCCCAGCGCCAGCGACCCCTCTCTGGTCCACCCCGTGCCCCTCGCCCCCCGCAGGCTGCCGAGGACGCATTGGCCCCGCCCCCTCCACCTGAGGACGCAGGTGAGGCGCTGGCTCCGCGCTGAAGCCCCTACCCTGCCCCCTACCACCCCCTCCGCTTTGGCGAAGTCGAAGTGGAGGGAAGAATCGCGCCTGAGATTTTTTTTTTTTTTTTTTTTATTTCGCGAACCCAGGAGACCCGGCTGTTGGTGCCAAAATGCGCGCTTGCCGGGAACAAGCAGCCCCGGGTCATAGTTCAGGACCCTCCCCAACGCCCCAGCGCCCCCCGGATCACGACGGAAAGGAGGCAACCTTTAGAGAGTGCCTGTGCTTTATTCCCGGGGCTGGAGGAGAGGGACTGGGCCGGCTGCACCTTGTCCGCATGGACATTGGCCTGGGGGCTGGCGTCAGGTCAGGGCTCCTCGGGGCTCCTGGTCGGTGACACCCCCATTGCCTCTCCTAGGAAGGTGCAGGCTGAGGTCCGAGGAGACCCAATGAGGAGGGAGTTAGCTGACTCGCGAGCGGATGCTGCAGAGAGAGACAGGAGTGAGCAGGACAGGGTCGCAGACACAGGGTGGGCAGAACAGGTGCAGAGGAGTGGGGGAGAGAGATGGGGGAGGGGGACCCTCGGAGAGAAACAGGAGCAGAGAAGAAAGTATGGGGGAGGGGGGTGAACAGAGGCTCTGGGGTTCATGGAGGGTTAGACTCCATGATGGACAGGACAGGCACAGGCCCTCCCCGCTGCTGGGCAGCCCTCACCCCGTGGGGTCCAGGCCCTCACCTGTGACACAGCCGGTCCCCAGGGCCTGCGGCCGCCGAGCAGTCCTGGTCTCTGAGTTTCACCGTCAGTGACAAGGGGCAGCACTGCTCGAAGCACACCCTGTAGGTGCAGTTGCCGCACCCGTGCGTCCTGGCCAGGGGCACCACGGCCTGGTCATGGCAGCAGTAGTGTGCCGGGTCGTAGAACTTGTCCCCGCACCTCCCATATAGCTCACACACTATCCGGCGAGCCCCCATGGGGGATACTGCGGAAGACAGAGCAGGTGTGGCCCGGGGCAGCAGCGGGGCAGCTTGGTCCCAGCCTGAGGTCCTCTAAGAATCCCCCCAACCCCGCCAGCATCCCTGCCCCTCCCGGCTCACCTGGGGCCCCTTGGGAGCAGAGGACCATGAGGAGGCAGAGGGCGGCTGAGACAGCTGTGGAGGGCAGAGGGCGGGATGGGGGATGGCAGCCTGGGCCGGCCTCCTGAGCCCAGCCTGAGGCCGGGGACTGAGGCTCTGGGAAGCCTTAGAGGCAGACCCAGGGTGGGGTCCAGACTCCCTGTGGTCCAGGGTCTTGTACAGCACAAGAAGGGCTAAGAGCTTTGGGCAGAAGGGGAGCACTGGGAGGAAGAGGCTGGAGAGACAGGGGTGCAGCTAGAGGGGCTGCGTGGGCATTGGGGTGAGGGTGGGAAGCAGGATGGGGTGGGGTCTTTTCAGGGACTGTGGCTCAGGCAGTGCTGTGCTGGAGTCGCCTGTGAGGGCAGGCAGGGCTTGGGATGCAGGGGCCTGGGAGAAGGCTGGGAGGAGGGGGTCAGCTGGGCCCAGGACCCTGTCTCCTTACCCAGGGTGCAGCAGCGGGGACTCATGGCTCAGAGCGGCTGCCGTGGAGTGGGGGGTGACCTGTGCATCTCAGCAGGTCCTTTTATCCACAGATCAGTTGGTGACGTCACTGGATCTCAGCCCTGCTGCTCAACATGTAGAGACTTGTGGGGCCCTGGGGCAGATCTTGTGGCTGAACAGCGAGAGTGGAGAGAGGACCAGTGTTTTTCCATCACTTGCCCCAAAGGCCTCCCTCTCCCTCCCGGAACTGCATTGGCTGCCTTGGCCAACAGCAGGGCAGGTGGTTCCCCGTCCACTCACCCTGAGACAGCCCAACAACTCACCCCCCCCATCCCATTCGGTCTTTGCATTTCCCCACTTCCTGTGCCAGGCTGCAGATTCCTGACATCTTCCCAAAGGGGCCTCTCCACTCCCCTCTGACTTCACAGCCCAAGCCCCTGTGGCATTCAGGACAAAGAAACCGTGCTGAGTTCTGTACCACTGGGAATCCCAGGTAGCACAAGGCGGGGCCAGGCAGGGGGTCCTGTCGAAGTTTGCTTGGGTAGCTCAGGAGACTGGAGTGGGAACAGACCTGGGCACAACCCGGGGCCTCAGAATCCACCACGGCTCTTCCCATGTAGTTCCTGTCCCTTCACTAATGCCCATCGGATGAGGAGCGCTTGTCCATTTAGTCTGCAGTGCCCGGCTTTGCTGAGGTTGTGCAGGCTACTCCAAGGCCGTGTCTTCATGATGCTTGAGGCACAGAAGAGACACACAGGCAGGGACAGAAACAGAAAATAAAGAGTCGTCGCTTGGTAATCCTGCTCCATGTCATTATTGTCATACATCTGTCGGTCAGGGTCCGTGGGAGAGAGGCCACAACCAGATGCAATGCTTTCACAGGTTCTCCCAGCGCACAGGGTGCCTCCCAGCTCCTCTCCAACCCGCCTGCCCCTGGAGACCCCCTTCCCCGTGCCGCGGCTCATACAGCAGGCCCTCAACACCCAGACTCCAGCCCCGCCCGTCTGGAGCCCAAGCTCAGCCTCAGGCTGCTCTGGGACCTGCATCCATTCCAGTCGCGAATAAGCAGAGGGACCAAGGGAGCAGGAACAGAGCTGGGCCATCCTGGGATGAGGGAGCCACTCAAGGGTCCAGACTCAGCAGGAAGCCAGGTTCAGGAGCACATTGGGGGTTCATTTTGGGGGGTATCCATGTCTGAACTCCAGTGGTCCCAGGTGGAGGCACAGGTGTCCCCAGCCAGACGCAGGGATGGCAGTGGAGGCTGGCACTGCTCCAAAGTGCCAGGACTGTCACTCAGATTCCACCATGTCCACGATCCTCTGACAGCACCCTCTGTGCCCCCTGCAGGACACGGCACCTGCTCTGTGCCATGCACAGGTGCAGGGGGATCCCTTTGGTCTCTCCTGCACCTGCCACCTGCCCTGCCCAACAGGGGACAGTGCTGTGGAGCAAGCACAGAGGCACTGGCTCCCTGGCTCTGAGCTGATCTCTGGGGCTGGGGGACGGCCAGCTCTATGCCCACACAAACCTGCGTCAGGCCAGGTTCTGCCAGGTCATGGCTGGGTGACCCTGGGGAGGTGACTTTGCCTCGCTGAGCCCCGGGTTCCTTCCCGCTAAGTGTAGAGGGCCTGCCCAGGTGATGCGTTGTCAGCAGGACTGACAGACATCATGTGTCTCAGGGCCTGGCCACGGAGGGTCACCGAAGACCACCACACGCCCAGGACTGGACCCTCTGGCAACAAGGACACCCGGCCAGTGGAGGACAAGAGAGACGGTGGTGCTGGCTGGAAAACAGCAAAGCAGACGATGGCGCCTCCTGCACTGAGGGCTGAGCTGTGTCACCTGTGACAACCCTGGAGGAACCTGAGGCTGGTGATGATGTCATCGCTATTTTTCCACAGCGAGTCACAGCCAGCGCTCCTGCACTGGGGATTCTAGAAGGTTCCACCATCCTCCTCCTCGGCCAAGAGCCAAGACACAGCTGCCCTGTCACGTCTTCCCAACAAGGTTCCGGTTCTCAGGTTCTCGTTCCAGCATTTTTAGAGTTCTGGACTGGGGCCATGGGACAGGACCTGCTGTCTCCACCGGGGTTGGGGAGGCCGGGCCTGACTGGAACCCGGGTGAGGCAGAGGCCCGGTTACCCGGGCAGGCTCCTGGCCGCCCTGCTGTGGAGGAGCCCGACCACACTGCAGACCCTGCATTCTGCTGTCTCAGGGCTGCTGGGGCAGACCAGGCTCAGTCCCTGCTGCTGCGGGCAGGGGCTCTGGGCTGGGGTGCGGGAGGGCAGCAGGCACAGCCCAGGCCTCCGTGGGTGCTGACAGCCCAGACTCAGTGTCATGAGGCTTTGGAGTCAGAGAGCCCTGGGTCACATCCTGTCCCTGCCCCTTTTCACATGGCTAAAACGCTGCCCACACACTGCCCACTTCCTCCCCCAGCACCTCGAGCACCTGCCCGATCCTGCCCGCTCTGGGGTCACTCTCTGGGGACAGGTCTGCCTTGCGCATGGGCTCCGGCTCTGAGACCAGGCCCCGGGCTGTGCTGGCTGCCATGGACTCTCAGGTCTTGGTCCCTGGCTGTCCCAGGAGTGAAGAAGACCCTGTATTCCTAGATGGTCAGTGTAAGATACTGACCTCAGATGGCCCTGGGTTTAATCCTCCATCTCTGGATGCCATCTAGACCCTGGCCGAGGTCCCACTGCTGATCAGTGTCTCGGGATGCACTGGAACCCAGGTCTCCTGAGCTGCCACCCAGGGGCCTCCCAAAGCCTTGCAGGAGAGCCCTGCTCACAGACGCCCCTGGAGGAGACCCAGGGAGGAGGTCCCGGGCTCCTGGGTGGGGCTGGCAGAGCCAGGCTCCTGGGTGTGAATCTGGGTCAATGCAGACTCTGCCTGCTCCTACCTGCTCACCCTTCCCCCAGGAGGAAGCAGGAGTCCCCCTCCTGGTGGTGGGGCAGTTCTCTCCACCTGCCCCAGCGAGCCCCGCCCAGGGCCCAGGGAAGAATGTGCTGGGGAATGTCAGGTATGCAGCAGGAGGGGGAGGGCTCCCCAGGCCCAGGAGTGCCCTCCCCTCTGGCTGCCCAGGAGGAGGCCTTGTCAGTGTTTGCTCAGGCTCAAGGTCAGCATTTCAGGGACTGAAGAGCCTGCTTCCTGTGGAGCCTGGTGGTCAGGCTGGACCCCTGCCCTGGTGTGTCCTCATAACGTGGTGAGGAAGGACCCCATGTCCCAGAGGGGCTGTGTCTCCAGGAACGAGGCCAGCACAACCTGCTGGGCTGTGACCCAGGACCTAGAGGCCACTGCTGCAGCCCCAGTGTCTTCTCATCAGGTCAGGGCTGGTGGGGGTGAGCTGTGGGGACCCCCGGTGTCCCCATGACTGTGCTGCCCAGAGCGGCAGAAGCACCCAGGACCGCAGCTGCAGGTCAGCTGACTCCCGGTCCTCTTCCTCATCTCAGCCCTAAGTCTCCCTATCATCCCATCCCCCTCATCACTGGGAATGCGGCTAGGGCTGAGGTCAGACTCCTGTCAGTCCTGACAGCTCCCGCCCAGCTCCTATCTCCCCTCTCTGTGTCTTTGCTGTTGGGGCCGACACTTGGGTCAGCGGTGGCTGCGGATTTGATCATCACCGAGATTCAATGGAACCTGATCATGACGGTCAGCACCAGGGGCGTGGACAGCTCCTCTGCTCTGACCTCCACCCTCCCCACCGCATGTCAGAAGGTTTAACCTTACCATTGTGTGTGTGTGTGTGCATGAGTGTATGTGTGTCTGTGTCTCTGTGTGCATGTGTCTCTCTGTGTGTGTGCATGTGTGTGACTGTGTGTGTTATAATACTCACATAAAGTTCACTATTTTAGGGGTGTGTTTGGCCTAGAGCCCAGGGTGCCACTTGAGCTGCCCGCATCCCATAGCAGAGTACCTGGGTTCCATCCTCAGCTCTGCTCTCATTTCTAGCTTCCTGGGAATGTGTGCACCCTGGGAGGCAGCAGGTGACGGCTCTAATACTTGGGTCCCTGCCACCCACATGGGAGACCTGCACTGAGCTCTTGTAGTCTGGCTTCGGCCTGGCCCAGCCCTGACTGTTGCAGACATTTAGGGAGTGAACTGGTGGATGGAAGATCATTCTCTCTCTCTCTCTCTCTCTCTCTCTGTTCTCTCTGTTTCTGCTTTTCAAATAAAATGAATAAAAGTTTACCCATATAGGAGCCCATGTGAGTCCCAGCTGCTCCAATTCTGATCTAGCTTCCTGCTAAGTGCCTGCAGAAGATGTCCCCAAAGGCTTGGGTCCCTGCATGCATGTGGGAGACCCAGATGAAGCCCCTGGGAGAAATATCCATGCAATCCAGGCCTCGGTGCCTGGGCAGCAGCTGGAGGAGCCCCAGGCCCCACTGTGACCCTTGTTTCAATCTGGAGAGGAGTGGGTGCAGAGTCCTCGAGTCCACCAGGGGGCATCACCTCCTTTTCTGGGTCTCCCTCCTGCACCAGCTCCGCTCTTCACTCCCTCTGCCTGGGGCCAATTACCCACACCTGGTGGGGATGCAGGACCTTCTCTCCCCTAGGAACTCCTTTTTAAGGATTTTTTAAAGTAGCAAGGCAGAGTGATAGGCAGCAGGAGGGGGAGGAGAGAGAGAGAGAGAGAGAGAGAGAGAGAGAGAGAGAATCTTCCACCTGCTGGTTCATTCCCCAAATAGCCCCAATGGCTGTGAACTGGAGTTTGGAATTCCATCCGGGTCTCCCACATGGGTGGCAGAAACTCAAGCACTCGGGCCATCGTCAGCTACCTTTCCGGAACAATAGCAGGGAACTGGATCAGAAGCGAAGCCGCTGAGACTTGAACCTGTGCTCCAGTGTGGGCTGCCAGGCAGGGGGTGGGGGCTTAACTCACCATGCCCTTGTTGCGACCACCAGCCCCACTGATGTGTCTGCAGGACCACCCAGCTGGCCTCCTGTGCCACCCGCGGGTTTGCCTTGCTGCGTTTTCATTGCCACACTCGTGAGGTCCAGTCCTCCCTCTGCTGTGATGCGGGCTGCATGGGAATGGTTTGTCCACGGCTTTACCTGGGCTGTCGGGTCTGTGGCCGGAGCTTGTCGGATTAGCCTGATGGCGTGTGGCGGCTGCGCGGGGCTGTGAGCCCGTTCTGCCGGGTCACCGCTCAGCTCA